AAAAGCACCTCCAAATATGATTTGCTGCAGGGTACAGGTGGTGGTGTTGGGACGGCCAATAAAGAACAAAGAACATAGGAAACAGACAGTAAGTGTAATGAGCAACATGTAACTGAGAGTCCTATTATTAGCCTTGACAATTGGAGTGTCTCTGTGCTTCACAAAGAGTCCAAAAACCACAGTTGTGAGTACAGAGAAGCACAGAGCTATGGTTGTGAGAGACATCCCCAAGGGGTCCTTATGGTCTAGAAAACTCACAGCTTTTTGGAGGCAGTGTTTCTTCTCTGTGTTTGCATAATGAGTTTCTGGACACTTCATGCACTTTTCCATATCTGGTCAGAAATGAAGGTGATATTTAGTCCAAGCTGAAGCTATCCCTGTAATTCCAACCCATTTTTCTGTACCTGTTGACAGGGCTGTTATCTACATCGCTTTCTCTTTTCTCAGGGACAAAGAAGTATACTCTATAGTGAATACTTTCACATTTGTATCACCCACCTTCCTTATTAGATATTTCAGTTATTATTTATATGCACATATAAACTGTGTGGCTCTAACTCAGCCCTCTTTCGTCATGCTCCATTCCTCACTTTCTCCATCTCTTACTTTCCAAGTTTATGTGCTGTCATCTCTTCTTTGTACATTTTAATACACAGTGAGTCTATTCAGTGATGCTAGTATTTACAGGAGATGGGGGAATCTACTGGAATATGGACAACATTTCAGAATCTACAACCTTAAAGAAAAGTGATGTATCTTTTTTGGTTAGTAATTATCTATTACCAGTAGCTTCTCATACAGCCCATTATCTTTATAGTGGTATAAATTAAAGACACTTTTTATCTCTTATATACCTTCACTGCCTCTTGTGCTATTAGTGCATCTCTTTTGGAAGTCATTAGAATACTGAGTTACAATGCACAAGCCTATGTCTGATTCCACATCATAAGTTATATCCACATTATGAATTTAAATAGTGCAAAAGAGGGAGAGTGCCATTTGAAATTATTTTCATAAAATTCATTTCTTAAACATAGGTTCTCAAATTTCTTATCATTATAAAATGCTTTCTGTTTTCTAATTTTGACTTTCCTCTGTGGAAGCTTTAGTAAATAGGCATTACTCTATTGTTACAGGATTGAATAATAATGCACTAGTGAACAGTTGTCATTCCACTTGTGGAAAGGTCAGAACTATCAAAACAGTTTTAGAGTATGAAATAAAACAGTCCCATAATATTCTGCTGTTGAAAATTTGTAAAATTCATCTTTTATTTGAAGTATATTAACATTGATTTATGCATGTCAGATTTCCACTGCCATTTTTTCCTAATTTTAAAAAGAATCTCATCACCAGAGTTTTAATCTTATTTTGTTGATGAATTTTGTTAACATATTATTGAATAAACTTCAGTTGAATAAAATTTATTTCTTTTTTTAGCGGTTTAATTGATTTATTGAACTTGGATTTACAGATATTAGAACAATAAATTTTAGTTCTTTGATTTTTTTCATTTATCTTTATTAAGAAATTTTCTACTCACTCTGCATACCACTCACAGATCCCACCTCCTCCCTCCTCTCACCCCCCAGCCTTCTCTCCCAAGCCAACCCATATCCCCACATCTCCCAATTCAAGGTCTCCCATAGGGAGTTAGCAGAGCCTGGCACACTGAGCTTAGGCAGGTCCAAGCCCCTTCCCACTGCACCAAGGCTGTGCAAGACATCACCCCACAGGCACCGGATTCCCAAAAGCCTTTCCATGCACCAGGGATGGATCCCAATACCCCTGCCTGGGTACCCCCCAAACAGTTTGAGCCAAACAACCATCTTCTATATCCAGAGGGCCTAGTCCAGTCCCATGGGGGCTCCACAGCCACTAGTCTACAGTTCATGGGCTTCCTCTAATGTGGTCGGTCATCTCTACACATCTTCCCATCATGATCTTGATGTACCTTGCCTGCATTATCCCTCCTGTCTCTTTATATCTCAGAAAAATTGCTTCTTTTAGCTATTGTGACACATTGTTACATCTGTTGTCAGGGCCTACTTTTAAGTTATTGCCTTAGACTCTATTATTTCCTTCTCTTTTATGTGGAGATATTTATTTTATTTTGATGTTCTACCTTTCAATGGATGACTAACAGGTATAACTCCATTCTTTAATAAAAGGCACCTGATACATGTAAAAAAACTACTATATATAGGATAACTATATCTATTTCAAGATACTATAACATTTTTGGATACATTGAATCAATAATCTCACCTCAAGCATTTGACATAATTGAGCTACACAATTTTTGGATGTATACTTATTAATTAGGAATTATGAAGGATTTTTCATGGGAAAGTAAACCATTTTAATATATATAATATATATAATAAAAATATATTCCTAAATATTATATCTATTTCATATATATAATATATATATATATATTATATATATATGTGTGTGTGTGTGTGTGTATGTGTGTGTACATGTGTGCATAGATATTCACCAAAGAACTATTTTTTAAATAACAGCTCGAGGGTACATCTATTATATCTCATGTTGAGAAATACATGGAAGAAGTTGCAGAAAGATTCTAAAAGTCAGACGTCATGAAATACTTACTGCACAGGATTAGAAACTTACAGACACAACAGGACAGTTGAATGCTGTTGATATCACTCTGTATAAATAAAAGGCTGATTGGACAGTGGCCAGGCAGGAAGTATAGGTGGGACAAGCAGAGAAGAGAATTCTGGGAAGTGGAAGGCTGAGGCAGAGAGACACTGCCAGCCGCCACCAGGACAAGCAGCATGTGAAGATGCTGGTAAGCCACAAGCCACGTGGCAAGGTATAGACTTATAGAAATGGGTTAATTTAAGATGTAAGAACAGTTAGCAAGAAGCCTGCCATGGCCATACAGTTTGTAACTAATATAAGTGTCTGTGTGTTTATTTTATTAGTGGGCTGTTGGACTGCCAGGACTTGACAGGACCCAGAGAGAAAACTCTCCACCAACAGTTGAATATACAAATTTTAGGCATGATAGCATGCATATAACATGTGAAAGCTCAGGGAAGACCACATATCATTGAACATGCAAGACTGACAAAAAGTACTACCCTTAACTGAGAACCTATTTGACCTCATAGCTGCTATAAGACTCGTTAGTCTTCCCTGGGAAAGAGAATTGAGATCTCCATGAGTAATTTGGGGATGAGGAATGGGCAATGGAGGGTAGGGGATGGGGGATGAGAGCATAGGGAATGTGATGGTCAATCTGGAAGAGGGATGGAGTGGAAGAATAATGAAAGAGATACCATGATAGAGGGAGACATCATGGGAATAAGGAGTAATTGTGTGCTAAGGAAGTTCCCAGGAATCCACAAGGATGACACCAGCTTAGACTATTAGCAATAGTGGATAGGTTACCTGAACTTGCTTATCCCAGCTATCAGATTGGTGAATACCCTAACTGTCAGCACAGAGCATTTCTCCAGTAACTGATGAAAGCAGATGCAGAGATCCACAGCCAAAAACTAGTCTGAGATCCAGGAGTCCAGTCAAAGAGTAAGAAGAGGGATTCTATGATCAAGGGTCATTAAGATTATGATGGTGATACCTACAGAGACAACCAAAACAAACTAGTGGGATCACATGAAATTTAGACTAACACCTAGGGATCCTCCATGAAACTGGACTAGGCCCTCTGCATAAGCCAGACAGTTGTGTAGCTTGATCTGCTTAAGGGGTCCCTATCAGTAAAAACAGGATCTATCCCTGATGAATGAGTGGGCTTTTTGCAGACCACTGTCTATGGTGGGACACCTCACACAGCTTTGAGGCAGGGGAAGGGGCTTGGATCTGCCTCTACTGAATGTACCAGGTTCTGCTACATCCCCATGGAATTTCGCCTTACCTTCTTGTAGAATGGAATGGGGGGTTTGGGGGAGGAGAGGAGGAAGGGGCAAGAGGAGGGAAGAGGCGGATCTGTGACTGGTATGTAAAATGAATAAAAATTTTTTTCTTAATAGACAAGGAGATGGATTATCTTAAAAAAATAGTATGTCCATACTAATTAGTAATTAGTTCTTACTCCACCAGGGTGACTAAACCAAAGAATATTTGGGAAGCAGAAATTGAATTGAATGAGTTTTTCTTAATTATTTAAAGGACAGAGAAAAGAAGTTAGATAGGTAGATAAGTAGAAGATTAGGAAATATATGAATATGATCCAAATACATAGCATGAAATTCTCAAAGACAAGGAATTATTTAAAAATTTCACAATTGGTATCACTCTGGTCACAAATTTAGTATTAGATATGAAAATACTAGCTTTTAAACATTTTTGTTCCCAATGAAATATGCTATGAATATGTTCATGATCTATTCTCCTAAATGGAGATTCTGTATTTCATTTCAGCCCTCAGGTTTTGGTACAGTTCTCCATAACATACTGTTGAAGCTGCATTGAGGATACTATTTCATATACTGTTTCTCAAAATTGAAGCAGAAAAATAGACATAATCCTATTCATTAAGGAAATCTGAAATTTTAGTTATGCTGTATAGTCAAAAATTATATATTGGGGATATCAAATACAAATTTCTAATCTTCTGTATGAAAAGACTTCTGGGAAGAATTATTATTGAATAACCTATCCCACACTTAGATGAGTTATAATCATTATTGAAATACAGTTAGAAAATCTTCCAATTTTGGTACTTTTTACTATGTGTTACGGTACATGAGATAAAAGCATGTTGATCAGTACAGAGCAAAAGTGTTTCCTACAACAAACAATATCTGCAGTTAATCATAAAATGTAAATCAATTATAAATTTCAATGCCTGCTGTGCACTATTTCAAGACATGGTGATGCACATTCATATCCTAAATAGAAAAAATAAATTTATCTGACTTCTCTCTGGATATTTTTCAGTTTTTAAGATAATGTAGAATCCTGTAGAAATGTGGAACCATTTCTGTAAGATTTATTCTTACCTGTCTCATTGGAAATCTCATTGTCTGCACAAGGAGTGCAATCATAGCAGCAAACAGCCTTGCCCTCCAGGGAAATTTTCCTGAATCCAGGACAACAGCTCTCACTGCACACAGAATAAGGAAGCTGAGAAAAATGTGAGCAAAGTTAACAAATTCTCATGGTTTATTGAAAGTCTCAATAATATATTTAATATCACATAATTAATTTGCAAGTTTTATTCCTATAAAGTAGAAAAGGAATTTAAGCATCTGTGATCTACACAAAATTGGTCTGAGGATTATCCCATTATTAAACAGTTTGGAGCATAATGAGGTAGGGACAGTTTTGATGCAGGTAGGTCATAGAAGCTGTGACCTAGAAAGGCAAGTGATCCTTCCACATGGATCCTGTCTCTGTACTTACTTTCTAATGTGTTGTGAAACATTTATTTCCACCATGATTGCAAATCTTGCTTGCCAACTTGACAGGACTTATAATTCCCATGTAAATAAATTGTTGGATATTTCTGTGAATATTCTTAAAGAGAAGTTTAAAGGGTTCACTCTAAAAGTGAGCATCATCATTCCATAGATTGTTATCTCAGAATGAATGACAATGAGAAAAAGGTGATCTGTGGTATTTCTTTTTTTTCTATTGACTGGGGATATGATGTTATCAGGAACCTCATGCTCCTAGAGCAACAAATTTCCAAAGATAAGGGCTGCATTCTCAAATTGTCAGCCAAAAGAAATATTTTCTTAAGTTATATTTGGTATGTATTTATTTATAGCAGCAGAGCAGGAGAGAAACATACACACATGCTCACTATAATATTTTCTCATTTAAGAGGTAGATAAAAGAAAAGTGATAACTGTTTATGGTCTGTAATCTTTAAGCATGGAATCCAAATGAACTACTCCAGTTTCAGACATAGTGCAGGAATTCTAATAGAGACATTGTGTAGTGGTTTGTGTGAAAAGTGGCAATTATAAGCACAGATATGTCACTACATATTTTCTCAATGGTGGTGCTGTCTTGAGAGTTACTGGTACTTTAGGAGTTGCAGAGTTATTGACAGAATTATTTCACGGTGGGAGTATTGAATATTTCTAGGCCTCACACAATTCCAGTATTCACCCTCTGCTTCTAGTGTGTGGACTGAGACATTTTTTTAAGGTTCCTGCCTATCGCTCCATTGATGCAACACACTAGCATTCCTCCTGACCATAAAGGATAGTTGTACCTCCAGAACCAGTAGTTGTTATTCCTGGGGAATATGTTTGTGGTACTGTGATAAGTTTAATGCATTGAGAGAATACATAACCCACCTCTGAATATATTTTTGGCCATTGTATCATCTGCTCAGATAAAGTCAACTGTTGACCATGAGGAGCATTGGGCAAAAATATTCCTACTTTCACTTTTAGTCCAAGACCCTTTGGAAAGTTCCAAAAGTTGAGAATATCATACTTATCATCATCTAACTCCTGTTTCCATTCTAAAGCCAAGTTGGCTCCCACATGGATATTCCTCAAGAAAGGATGAAGCTGAAAGGGATGCAAGAACATATTTTAAAGTGGTTGTGAGAGGTTGACCAGATATGAATTATAAAATGACTATCACTGGTCATAATCTCTGGTGTAGGATACAATATTATGAGGGTGAGCAATGATTAAATAAGTTAATGAAATGCTATTCTGCCTGTGAAGGACAGTCAACCAAAAGAAAATCTTCTAAACAACCTCAGGAAAGAAATCAGTGAGTATTGTTTGAAACAAATTTCAATTTCTTTAAAATAATTTATACCCATTTACACACAGGGTTTATCACTAAGTTGAGTCAGCAAAATGTGGGTACTGATGACTAAATGGTCATTAGACAAAATCATTTATGTACTGATACGTTGTGGTAATGGGATGTCATTGTTTCATTTACTGAGAGAGTTCTTAGTTTTCTAATGGAATATTTCACAATGAGAAGATTGTGAGGTTATTTGTGACCAAAATTTATATTCCCTAAAATCATTTCCAGTTTGCCACTAGCACCCTATTCCTCAGCCACGTGCACACAAAAATCTGCACTGACCTGGAAGATATGATAACAAATGAAGATTTTCCTGTGGATATAATATATGGAAAATTTTGAAATATGTGATACCTAGTTTGGTGACTCTGAAAACTCTCAAAATATCACATTGTTGATGCTCTAATGCATGGAGGGGATATTACCTGCCAGGGGAAGAACATGATTCTTTCCCCATTTCCAAATGGTTGCATTTGTACTTGCTGAAGACTCATCTCATGGAAACTGTGGGCCACAGTATAAACAGCCTTGTATGTATTGTAGCTGTCTTCATTCATTGCCATATCAAAAATGTGTCTAGGTAGGAATTCCAAGGAAGCATTTGGTTGGCAGTTCTCCAAAAGATGACAATCAAGCTCTGAAAATGAGCACTTGAAGAACAAAAACCACAATTTAGGAAGGTAACTGTCTTCTGGGTATTTATAAGGATTAACTGTTTGGATAAAATTTTTAAATTCAATGACTTGCTCATGGTGGTGTGAAAAAATGAGACTTCCATGGAAGGAATCTAGCAAGAAATAATCAGCAATATTAGTAATGTCCCATTGAGAAGTCATGACCCAGACTTTCCTTGTCAAAATCTGTTGCCCTAAATTTCGCGTTAAACCTTGTAGTGAATCATTGTCACCATAGACGATGATGATATTGGCCAGTGAATCCTGGATGATGCCAAGAATTTTCCAGTATTTTTCAGGAAATGAAGTCCAGGAACTTTGCATCATTTCAACAAAAGCTATGCAGACTTGATTTTTCTCCATATTTTCTCTGATATCTGATAGAAACTGAGTTCCTCTGTGATCATCTGGGATAAGCAGACCAACCCAGGTCCAGCCAAAATGAAGCATCAAAGAGACCATGGCAAGAGACAGAGATGTGCCTTTGGGGGCCATCTGGTAGAGAGAAGTAAACTGACCTCGGTCACTGAAGATAGGATCAAAAGGACCAACAGTGAGCTGAAAAGAAAACAATTGGAAACAAGAGAAAGAACAATGGCATTATGCACAATCCTTGTTCTGCAGAAACAGATGGAAATGGTCAGCATAATGATGGATTCATCCTGATTTTAAAGGCAAGTTTATCTGACAGAATTTTTCATCAAATTACTGCCCTGTCCTCTGTTTTTATTAATCCTCCTGTCTACTCTAACTTCTCCCTTTCTTTCCTTTCCATGTGACTGAAATATAGGTCCATCTCCAATTGTCTGGACAATTGTCATTGATATCTAACTAATCCAAATAAATGTTTTTACCTTTGGAAACAATAGAGTTCTGTCTCTTTCCCACATAACTCCTCACCTGTGGAAATTTGTAGAGCTGAAGCAGTGTCCCAATATGAGCAGATTTTGCCCACGATGGTCCTGTTATTGCAGCAGTTGACTTTCTCTCCTTTACACAGTTATAATTACAGTAGGGACTACTCAGGCCTGTGAGCCAAATAAGGGCATTCAGAAGAATGTTTTTCTCACTGTATGGGACATTATAGAAATCAAATCCCAGAGATATGTTGGGTAAAAGATGAGGGTTCCTGTTGATCTCCTCAATGGCAAATACCAGGGCCAGTATCAAGTGGTATATTTTAAAATTATACCTGCATCAATTGAATAAAAATATACCTGAGGAAGTTATAGATCACATAGAGCTACAGATTTATTACAATGGTTTTGTGGTTTAAATATCAGTATTTATATAAAATCTACATTTAAAATTTCCCTCTAAATGCCTGGAATTCAACTCACTATGTTACCCTGTTTGGATAAAATATTGTGGTGGTATTTTACTTGTACTGAAATGTGATTTTAATTGTTTATTAATAAATAAAGTTGCCCAGGGGTCAGAGCTATTAGAGCCATAGCAAGAGTGTGGCGGTGGTGGTGCACGCCTTTAATCCCAGCACTTGGTAGACAGAGCTAGGTAGATCTCTGTGTGTTCAAGGATACAGCCAACATTGGAGACACACGCCTTTAATCTCAATACCATAGAGGACCTGGTAGTGATGAGGCAGTCATGTGTTTGGGTTTACAACCAATGAGAAGGCAGAACAGCTAGACTATATAAAGACATACACAGAGGAAGCAGCCCCTTTTTCCGAGAGCTCTCAGCTGAAGTAGGAAGGGTAAGGCTCCTAGCTCTGACCTCTTGGCTTTCTTCTCTGAATCGGCTCTGTGTTTCTTATTTAATAAGACGGTTAGTTACATCTACAAAATATGATTCTGTAGTTATGACCCTTATAATTTGCAGTCCCATGACTGGCCATGAAAGTAAAAAAAAAAAGTTCTGTACAAAATACAATATCTCCTGCGGCATTGTTCTTTGTTGTTTAGCTCCTACATTTAGAAGACAACAAAGAGTCTTCCATTAAGACTCTCAGCTTTCCAAGATAATATTTTTCTTTTCTGTTTTTATTATTGAGAAATTATCTATTCATTTTACACACCAACCACAGACACCCCTCGCCTCTCTCCTTCTGCCCCTCTAGCCACTCCCCCCAAAACTATACTCCATTCCCATCTCCTCCAAGGCAAGTCCTCTCATATGCAATCAGCAGAGCCTGATATATTCAGTTGAGGCAGGTTCAAGCCACCCCGCCCCTGCACCAAGGCTATGTAAGGTGTACCGCCATAGGCACTGTGCTCAAAAAAGCCTGCCTATGTACCAAGGATGGATCCTGATCCCACTGCCATGGGGCTGCTTAAGCAGGTCAAGCTACACAACTGTCTCCCTTATGCAGAGGGCCTAGTCCAGTACCATGGAGACTCCAGAGTTATTGGTCCACATTTCATGAGTTCGTACTAGATTGACTTGGTTGTCTCTATATGTTTCTCCAACATCATCTTGATGCCCTTTGCTCATAGAGTCCCTCTTCTCTTTCTTCAACTAGACTCATGCCTTCTTCAAAATAATATCTTTTTTCAGATGTTTTTATTAACAGATTTTCTATTCATTTTACATAACCACAGATTCCCCTGTCCTTCGTCCTCCCACCTCCCAGTCTTCACCCCAACCCACTCCCTCATTCCCACATCCTACAAGGCAAGGTCTCCCATGGGGAGTCAGCAGAGCCTGGTACATTCAGTTGAGGAAGGTCCAAGCTCCTCCTCACTGCACCAAGGCTATGAAAACTGTCTCACCATGAGCACTAGGTTCCCAATAGCTGGCTCATGCACTAGGGACAGGTCCCAATCCACTGCCTGGCATTCCCCTATACAGTTCAAGCTAAATAACCATCTCTCTTATCCAGAGGACCTAGTCCAGTACCATGGGGGCTCCTAAGCTGTTGGTCCACTGCTGTGGGATGGTCTGTATGTCAAATTGCTCTGATTGGTCAATAAATAAAACACTGATTGGCCAGTGGCCAGGCAGGAAATATAGGCGGGACTAACAGAGAGGAGAATTGAGAGAATTCTGGGAATTGGAAGACTGAGGAGGGAGACACTGCCAGCCACTGTCATGACAAACAGCATGTGAAGATGCCAGTAAGCCACGAGCCACATGGCAAGGTATAGATTAATAAAAATGGATTAATTTAAGATATAAGAACAGTTAGCAAGAAGCCTGCCATGGCCATACAATTTGTAGATAATATAAGCGTCTGTGTGTTTATTTTATAAGTGGGCTGTCAGACTGCCAGGACTTGGTGGGACCTGGAGAGAACTCTCCAGCTACAGTCCACAGTTCATGTGTTTCCACTAGTTTTGCTAGTTTTCTCTGTACTTTTTCCAGTCATGGTCTAGATATCCCTTGCTCATGGAATCACTCCTTTCTCTCATCCACTGGACTCCTGGAGCTCCACCTGGGGCCTGGCTATGGATCTCTGCATCTGCTTCTATCAGTCACTGGATGAGGATTCTATGATGACAGGGTATTCAGCCATCCAATCGCCAGAGTATGCCAGCTCAGGCGCCCTTTGACTATTGCCAGTAGTCTATGGTGGAGTCATTCTTGTGGATTCCTGGAAATCTCCCTAGCACTCTGCTTCTCCCTATTCCAATGGAGTCTTCATTTATCATGGTATCTCTTTCCTTGCTCTCCCACACTGTTCCCATTCCAGCTCAAACCTCCCTCTCTTATAAGTTCTCATCCCCCGTCCCTTGCCCTCCATTATGTGGTACATATACCCAATGGAGTACTACTCAGTAGAGAAAAACAATGACATCATGAGGTTTTCAGGTAAATAGATGGAAATAGAAGATTTCATCCTGAGTGAGGTAACCCAGACTCAGAAGGACAAATATGATATGTACTCACTCATAAGTAAATACTAGATATTAAGCAAAGGATAACCAGACTGCAACTCACAGCTCCAGGGAGGCTAGCTAGTTCAGGAGGACCCTAGGAAGGGTGCACAGATCACCCAGTGATGGAGAAATGGATGAGATCTACATGAGCAAAATAATATCTTAATCAAAGAATACCATTGAATTAATGTGATTTGTCTTTATAAATAGTTGTGATACTTTGACAATATTGTCTTTGTGTGAGTTTATATTACTTTTGTACTATTTATGTGTGTGCTTGTGTGTGTGTGCCATTGTGTGTGAAAATGGTTGAATTTAATGTTATGAGTCTAAGACAGAGGACAACCTCCACAAGAAGTCCTGGCTTCACTTTTCCTTTTAACAGAGGCTCTACTCTTCCCCTTGCATGTGTCTGGGTATCTTTATTGCATACTTCCAGGGCTTCTCATGTTTAAATCTCCTCTCCTCCTCATGATCCCTAGATTACACATGTTGACTCAAGAATTTTTTTGTGGATCTGGACTCAGATAACCTCACTTGCACCTAAAGCATTTTTACCTTCTGAGATATTCCTTATTTTGTTGTTAATGCCTGAAATTAAAAAAAAGTTTTAATCAGAATACCATAAAATAATAATTAAAAAACATTGCCAGGCAATGGAAACCTGTTTTTGAATTTTAATTTTTAGGGGAGTCCAAGAGACTTCCTCCAAAAATATACACTGCTTCCCAGGCCTTTCATGCCTTTTTGATAAAGTAGATAAGATCTTATTGCTGAACACTTCAAACAGTAGGTGAAATGATCAATCTGTATTTACCAGGAGGCTTCCCTACTGAGGACTGGCTCCCAGTGTTACAGAAGGAGTCATACAACCTCACAATGTGGAAAAGCTACCAGTAATCCTATCTGTCTGTTGGACAATGAATGACAACAAGAGTAAGCAGAGTAAGATATTCTGATAGGTGTAATCATGACACTTAGAGCCTTGGATCACTCAGAGTTGCCAAATTGGACTTAAGGCATGATGGGATAGGAAGGAAGCTTTGCCTGCAACGGTACTTGTACATTTAGACAACTACCTGTAGCAGAAAGCATGGACTCTAGAGAAGAACCTACTACTGTCAGTTTTCTAACTAGTATACTCTTTAACTGTAATCTAAACTTAACCTTATATCCACAAATAAGTTTAGCTCTCCCCCTGTATAAAGATGCTTTTTTATATGGTATACACAGATCATTACAGGATGCCATAACTTGTAATAATATACTGTTTAATCAACTGCAGGGTGTCTACCCACAATTAATATATTTACAATACAATGCCTAAACTTAAAGACCAGGAAACTTCGTAGAAGGCAGGTCAAAAAACTGTTATGAGACAGAAGTCAGGACAAATGTTGCAAGATACTCTTTTCATTATAAGAGAAGTAACATGAAGAGGGGCTGAGAGAGTGAATTTGAAGGATTTGGTTGGAAGAGTCAGAGATTAATGTGGGCGAGATATATTATTTGAAAATTTTCTTTTTTTCTTTTCCACTGAAAAAAATTTAATTATATTAGTTCACTTAAACATTGAAGTGACTCAATATAAAATAAAAATTATAGATGTGTTATATAATAAATACATGAGAATTTTCTCTATTTTGTATTTTAAATTAAAATTTTTTTTCTTAAATTATTTCCATTATTTTTATTTTGCAATACAGTTCAGTTCTATATATCAGCCATGGATTCCCTTGTTCTCCCCCCTCCTTCCCCTTCATCTTCCCCTCAGCCCACCCCGTATTCCCACCTCCTCCAGGGCAAAGCCTCTCCCGAGGACTGAGATCAACCTGGTAGACCCAGTGCAGTCAGGTCCAGTCCCCTCCTCCCAGGCTGAGCCAAGTGACCCTGCATAGGCCCCAGGTTTCAAACAGCCAACTCATGCAATGAGCACAGGACCCGGTCCCAATTTTCAAGTATTAATAAAGTGTTTTTACATAAGTATGGTATTTGTTCTTTCAGAACTTGATGGAAAGATGGTGTTGCTAAAGACAATATATAACTGAGTCATAGAATAGGGAGATATCAGGCTGCTACTTTACTGCAATTCATCCCTAGTGAATAACTTGCACAGTTCAACTACTGTAACAGGAGCCCCAAATTTAGTAGTCCCTCAGAACTTAGCACAACTGATTCAGTAATGGAGG